AGGTTGTTTCTCATAATTTAAACTAATATCGAGAACTTTTGGATTAAATGAATCGTTGAATAAGTTGAACCCTTATTTAGTTTTACAATTTATTTTTTTTTTTTTGTGGTTGATCTACTATATTGTCATTATCATTTAATGTTCTTGTTGATTCAGGAACAGGTTTAACAAATTAGTTAATGATTTTATTATAAATTATTAATTTTAACAAAATACAAAAAAAAAAACAATTTATATTAGTTTTAAAACTATTATCGGTGCGTAAAATATACGCACAGAAAAATACAAAACGAAGACACTCACTCAAAGGCACCGGGAACAACAAACCAGAAGTTTGTTCTAAATAATTCTAATAGATAATGAATATTTTATTTAGTCCGATACATCGACAATGCCTGGGTCAACATTTCAAAAGAATTGAAAAAACCAGGTAGACAATAAGTATTTTATAATATATTTCTTGAAATAATAATAATTTATTATTAGGTATTCAAATGTAAAATATTAATATTTATATTATTTATATATTATAATATAATATTATTAGTATGATATAGTAATTTAATAATAATAATAATTATTAATGTATAATAAATAGTTTTTAACTATTCTAAGCTGTACGATTCACAATTCCTTGCTACCATTCAACATGACCTTCATTGGATATAAAATATTCTTTGAATAAATTTCAGACATTTAAAGCTTCTCTACTTTAATTCGATGAGGTACGAATTCGTATTGGCATAGACACGTTAGATTTATTGGTTTTTTTTTTAACTGTCGCTATATTGGTTTGAGTAATTAATTGACGTGTTTAATTGTGGAGAACAACAGTAGCTAAAATTACTTAATCTGCGAGTTCGATGTGGCATTCTAATGGGCTGTGATGTATTCTCCGAGTGTTTGCTAGGATACCAAACGTATTTTTCACAGCAGTTTTGCTTATTGAAAGCCTCTAGTTGAAAATACGTTCATTCTCACTTAGTCGAGCACTTCAAGGATAAGGTCTCATGAGATATTTTTTAAAATGAAATGCCTCATCACCAACTATTACGTAGGGCAAACTCCTTCCTCTTAAATCTTCATCTTGAGCTATACCCATATTTAAGCTTGTTAAACGCTTTTCAATAGTGCCGTTACAATACACACTTACATCACTAACTCTTTCATATTGCCCAACACCAACACAAATTATTTTTTTATTTTCATAAGAGTAGATACTAGTGCTAGCAAAACAACCTAGAGATATTTTTTATAGTTGAAAAATTTTGAACCCTTATGAGTTGTAGCCTTAATACGAACATGCTTCCCATCGATTGCAGTAACACAATAAGGGAAGTTCCATTTTTCTTAAACGCTTTTTCTGAAGTGGTGGTCATCAAAACCGCACACTTACCGTTCATAACTACACATTTTACATCGTTCAATACCTCACATATTTATTCTATTGTTAAAAAGGGAAATTTGAAAGGTCGGTAGTTCAAAACCACACATATTTGGTTAACAGTTCCTTTTTCTCTGCATACTTTGCATGTACAGTTCACGTTGCCGGTTTCGTATGAGTCCCACACAAAATCTTTTTTTTATCCTGGGACCTACTTGGGGTAATGTTACATAGCAAATCGGGCGATATTTTCGTTTTTAACTGTCCGAGCGAGCGAATTAGGTCCCCGTTCGGTCTCGAGGTGCACTCATGTTACTTTAGATTAATGTATACGTAATTGATATATATATATATAAATTTATGCGGTATTGAACGATTTAATTTGTTGATAATATGTGGGATTAAGATATAAAAGTGTGCGGTTTTGAACGATAACCTGTTTTTGAAAGTGTGCGGTTATGAACGACGCCCTTCTGAAGCACTATATTTCTTCATTAGGATCAGGCATTATAAAAGGCTGAAAGTTTTTTCCATAGGGATTTACAGACTTCTTCGACTATGTTACTTATTATAGAACTGTCCATGCGATAATTGAAAGCTAACGACCGAAATTAATTTCCAGTGGCTAGAAACATAAAAAAAAATAACTAACCAATCTAAAATGTCTGCTGTCTATAAATAGGTTTTTATTTATATTTATATTTATCTTTTATTTAGTCGATGAACTGAAAGGTAAATGAAAGAAGCTTCAAGATTCTCACAGATAAGCTACATCAAAGAGGAAGGCAAAAAGTGGACAGGCTGCGAATAAAATGAAACCTTGGAAATACGAAGAAGTTATGTCTTTTTTTATCTAAGTCTTCTCCACGTGAGTAAGTATAACTTCTAAATCGTTCTTAGTTCTTTGATCGTAAACTTACTGCAGTATTTTTTTTTTTTGCAAAACTTACACTAACGTCAATAATTATGATGGCAATGATACCCTTGCGAACCTAGCAGATGAAGAAAATAAAATAATTGAGGAACATAGCCAAAATAGAAAACATAGAATTAGCATTGTCAAATAATAAAGAAAGTGAAACTCACAAGAAAAAACGTAATTTTGATGCAAGGAAATACGTATAGAATGTAGACAAAGAAAGTGACGTTGACAAAATAATATCATTTGTTGGAAACAAAAATCAAGTGAAAAACAGCTAGGAGAACTAAATTTTTTCTTTGAGAGTACAAAACGACTTTCTCGACGTTTAAAACTGCTAATTAAGCAAGAAGTTATGAAGGCAATAATAAATGCAGAAACAGTTCTTGGGCCAATCATCTGCTACTCCAACACCCTCTATCGTCAGTACTGAAATACTTGATCGTAGCATGATGGTTAGGTTAGATACACCTTCACCAGTCAGTCAAATATCATTCGTGACTGCGATTATATTATCTCTTTGGTATACACATTTTAAAAAACGACACTGGAAGTCAGTGGAAAGTTTAATACCTCGTATGATAAGGGCTAGGATTAATTTGTCTCTGAGGCCCTTGATTTCTCTCCACGGCCCTGGTAGTCATACATAACACATTATCATTTAATATTAACAACAAATTTGGATGGGGTAACTTTATTTAATTATATTTTTCATATCAACATAATATGATTATTTATTACTGTGTTAATACTGAATATTATGGTAAGGGAGGGAAGGTTCACAAATAAGTCAAGTGCTTACCTTGACTACCCCGTGCACTCACTTATGCATGTACGTATGTGATGTCACCGTATATGACTGCACACCGGCGTCGGAGGAGCAAAAGTGACCGACTTTATGTAATTTTAAACATGGAAATGAAACATTTTCTGATCGAATTATCCTACCAAATCTACACTGTTAAAAAAAAATGAACCAGTAATGCTAATAAATTCAGACGTATATAGCATTGTTGTTACTCACTACAAAATAATTCCAAAGTATATAATAGCATTTATCGGTAATTGTTACAATCACTTCCTGAAACATTTATTTTCCATGCCAGTATGTATTAGTAATTTGCAATAATCAATGTACTGTTGGTAAATACAGTTAAGAATCGCATTAAATCTAGTAAAAATCAGATTTTTCGCCCAAAGTTAAGGCACATATTTTCAAAGCCCATAGACATTGCAGTTATCATGTAAAGTATTTCAACAAGTAGGATACCTATTGTACATTATTGCTATTCTGATTTTTGACATTCGAAATTTGTCCTTAAAATCAAAACGTCAATTTTATTTAATTATAACAGTCACTACAGTTTACTTGGTTTACTACATTTTACATGTTAATAATATTGTGCTACTACAATAAATATTTTTAAAATTTTTAAAATTATCTAATTATACCATCTGTTGAGTATTAATAATATAGAAAAAGTATTAAAACTGTTGCTATTGTTTTTAGCAATTTTTAATTTTTAATAAATATTAAATTATAATGATTAATATAATGTTAATGTGAATCGATTATTATTTTAAACAATGTTATATTAATATGATATAAATAGTTTATTTCTGTTCTTGGCAAAAAAAATTTAGAAACATTATTTATTATGTTAACAAATAAGATAGAAGGAAAAAAATGCTATAAATAAAATCAAAATTATTTTATGTGAATAATATAATTTTTATGATTTTATTTAAGATAATAGAGTAGTAAAATGTTTTGTTAAAACAACGTAATTTTTTCTTTAATTTATCAAATTACTATTTTTAGAGATGTTGTAAAACTGAAATGATTGTTAGCCATTTAAAGTGTTAAATACAAAGTTAATAATATCTTAAAATAATACATTTAGACTTGAAATTATATAACTAATAATATTTTATTAATTGTTTTTTGTGTTAATTGGTATACACTAAAGATTATAAAATTAATTAAAGAAAACTAAACTATAAATTATATTAAAAAAATAATAAATTATATTTTTACAGTATAATTTAACAATTGTAGCAGACTTATATATCAAATATCATAAATTAGTTACTAATTATGTATCATAAAAATAATAAAATATAAATAAAAACATTCTTTGTGAGTTAAATTTATGACACATGTGTTGTTAGTTTAAAATATAAACATAATTGAGAGCTTAATTGTATTTGTATTCATAATCTATCTATACTAAACCAATATAAATTACGTTTGATTTGTATTTTACTATATGTATGATGAAATATTGCCAAAAATTCTAAAATTGGTAGTTTTAAAAACATCATACAATAATTTAAATTGTTCTACACATATTTCACACTTGACAGTGTGTTTCTACTAAAATAATAGCATTATATTTGACATTTTAAGATGAATATTAAAATAATTGTTTTTTCAAAATGTTTAACAAAATGGGTGATAGATTAAAACCATGATAGTAAGAAAAAAACATTTAAGATAAGCTTAACTTAAAATGATTAAATAAAATTAATGTTTTATAAAAAAATAAAAAGAAACACAAAATGCAGATTATATTGTTAGTAGACATAAAAATTAAGAAATATTTAAAAAAAAAAAAAAAATTAAAAAAAAATACATTGAATAAATCAACAAAATTGTGATGAACGTTAACTGCATTTGGAGCCATTTTGTTTTTGTTTATTAATTAATGCTATTCTGAAAAAAAAAACCGCCATGTTCATATAATATAATTAAACATATTAGAACATTTTTTTTTAAAACAGTATTTACATACATTAGGCTGCCATTGAAGATATGTGTCTTTAGTAGCTTCCAAATACTCATCCACAAGGTTTTGAACCACAGCCCTAGAATCATCCATTTCACATAGATCATCTTTAAACATATTTTGTTTACGGAATTGATCCAAAAACGCTTCTCTGTGTCGTAGTTTATCATACTGGTCCAGAACTCTTTGAAAAAGCTAAAATTGGTTTATATTAATACATAATACTTTTAAATTGAATACAAGAAATGTTATATTTACTTGAGATATGCTTGTATGGTTAGCTAGCATAAGACCAGAAACACGATGTGCAGTGGGAACATAAGGAGACTTTTTGGAGAGAGCAACTTGTATACTAGATGGGCCCCAATTAATGAAATTCACAGTTTTTCGTTCTCTAATTCTTTGGAGAGATTTATACACTTGTGCAGGATCAACATCACCCTATAGAAAATAATATAATTACACATTTTTAGATTTTATTTCATCAACTAAATGTATGTAATAAATACTTGAATTATATTTAATATTGATAAGTAGCAATGTGGTATAGTAGATCTTTCTTGTGCTGTAGACACCATCATATTTTTAGGTTGTAATAACCTTCGCATAACGTCAAAAACTGTAGTTTTACGAATATTAGCATCCTGTTAAAAAAATAATGGCATTGATATTACATTATACAGGATGTTTATATGTAAAGGACGAAGTTAAAATATATACAATACATATGGTGGTAAGAGCTATTATATACTTCAATTATTTTACATCATAACATAAAATGAAACTCAACTATGTATACATAGCCTAAATATTTTATCAAAAGTTCTATTTTTACTTCACCAAAAGAAATATTTTTAAATATCATAAAAATAGAAGTATCTAAATCATAATAATATCATGGAAATGTATATGAATAATTAGAAATCAACAGAAAAAAAAAACAGTAAAATACCTCATGATCAGTAGTTAATGGTGTATAACCTGTCATGAGAAAGTGTAAACGTGGTGATGGTATCAATGGTCCAATGAGACCAACCAAATCATTGTTCATATATGATGGATATCTAAACAGAACACAAAATATAATATAAAAGTAATTTAACCATATTATAAAAATTAAATATAAAAAGAAAAATACCTTAAAGTAGCAGTAGAGACGGACATAATAGTGGATACTAATGAATTTATTTGAGCAAATGATGGATTTTCTATGTGCAGACGATCAGTAGCAATTCGATTCAAAGCTGTATTATCTAAGACTACCACGCAATCAGCACTTTGAGCAAGTCGCTTTAATGTCAACAATGAGTTATAAGGTTGTACAACTACATCACTATAAAAATAAATTAATAGAAAACAAATATCACCACTCTAAATTAAGTAAAATAAGAAAATATTTACCTAATTTCATCTTGATTTGGAAAAACACTATAAGTTTCAATAATTTTTTTAGGATATCGATCAGTTAAATGTTCAAGTATATACGATCCCATGCCTGAACCTGTTCCGCCTGCAATAGAATGACACAAAACAAATCCTTGAAGACTATCACCACCTTCAGCTTCGCGATCTAATATATCAAATACTTCTTCTTGTAGTCTTTCACCCTGACTGAAACCTGACGCCCAATTATTTCCAGCTCCACCACCATGTTTAGATAAATAGACATTTTCAGGATTGTACAGCTAAAAATAATAGAGTATTGAAAATGTATAAAAACTGTTTAGAACCAATTTGAATTTACTTTAGAATAATTGGATGACATGATAGAGTGAATGACACGAGGTTCCAAATCCAATAAAACAGCTCGTGGTACATAATGATTATCATCAGCTTGATAAAAAAATACGTCTTTTCTATCACCAACACCTTCTGTGGCAAAAGGTTCCAATACTCCTTCAGGATTGATACCATGTTCTGCACACAATTTTTTCCAAAATTCAAAACCAACTAAACATAGAATATTTGTTAATATAATATTAAATACAATTCAAGAGTTTTAAAATCTATATAAGTATAATTTAATGAACATTTTCATGAAAAACTAGTACATCAAAGTATACAACTAATACATCGAATCCTATCAGTAGTATACTTCACTCAGTTTTTTTTTAATAAAAACACTTTCAAATATTTAAATAATTTAATTATTTAATACAAAATTCAAAATCGGAATCATCTTTAGTCTAATGTGTAAAATATTAGTCGATCAAAGATTTTATTTTACTACATATACATTATTTCAATAAAAATTCTATAGGTCTATAGTAGTATTATTAAAAGAAAAGTATCAACGGTTTTAAATTAATTCTGTCTACTATTATAATCGCACAGTAAAAAATATATTTTTATTTTACTTAATATTGTTTGTTTAAAAAAAAAATTCTTCAATTTACTGATAAACGTACTAGAGTACAAGGATAAAATAATAGTTGTAGAAGCTTTTGGTCTAATCAACTGCTATTGACTTAAGTTCGTTTCAAAAACTTTAGTAAGTATTTTAATAATTTTCTAGAAAATAATACTTGCTTTGGTTCCCACATTGTCCCAATTGGACCGTTATCATTTCGCACGGCATAATGATATAGTTGAATTTAATTCTAAAACATTAGTTTCGAAAAAAAAAATAACAACACGTTGCAATCAAGCCGGAGGAAAATCAGCGAAATTTCATAAATTAACATTAATAGGAACATCAATTCCACAATCGATGAGTATTGTAACGAGCCGTGGTCTTCAAACGAATGCGCTAATCAATTTTAACGAATGATAAGAGAACTCTAACCAAGGAAAAGGCGCGAAATTATAAACAATGATAACGATCACGGTATACAGTGTAGTACTCAGAAACACACAAAATAATATCGCGTTACTATATTTTGTTCTTCTGACAATCGGTAGTGTGGCGACTCTCATTACCCAAATAATCCATACTCATTGAAAAACATCTCTCGAAAAGTGTCAATTTGGTGGTTGCCAGTTAGTCACTACAAGGTCCAATTACTGGGTACAGTGGTTATATAATGTTGTAAATAACCTCCTTGGCGAATTTTATTTTGATGCTTATTTATTGTAAAAAAAAAAACCAATTTCAATCTAACTACTCAAACTTTGCTGATCGGCGCAATTTGTAGGCGATAAACTGCCGGCATCATGCGATAGTCGTAGATCAAAACGTTTGAAGTGACGCATACGTTTCCCCAAACCGACATATGAAGTTTACAACGGTATACACTTTTCTCCTAACGTGATTATGAAGAAGCAGCTCAAATGTTTACTCACACCTAGGCAAACTTAAATTTTGCCGCTCTTTACATGTAAATACAAAATCAAATATATATATTTTTTTTTACATAAGCATTACTAAAATAGACTTAAATTTGAGTTCATTAAATTTGTTTTTATAAAGTTTACAATTGAACAGATCAACACATTTATAAACAAGTAAACCAGTACTAATTTAAATAAAACAAAAATGATCAACAAAGTCTTATTTGTTATTAAAAATCATTTGGTATGAGTAGGTACTAGGACATGTAATCTTTTTTAAAAAAATTATCTTCAGTATAAAAATGTTTAATGCTGCCTTAGGCGTGAACCTGTGTCACCTACTCTTTGAGCCGGGCTTAAGTATTGCATTACAGTGATCACGTTAAAAGGCAAAAGTACCTTTACAGAAAAAGAATTTTCACTTTCTTGTTTTGGATTTTTTAGTCAACTGATTCATTTTTCATTTTTTCCTCATCAAACCTGTTGAGAAGTAAATCTACACCGAAATGGTTTCATGCAGCCACGTTTGAAAATTAAAGGACACATGACGAGAGTCCTTTAAATAAGGTTTTTTTTTCGATTTTTTCCGTAGATTTTTTTCGTCGACGTAGGGGAAAATTTAAAAAAATACTTATGTTTAATTTTAAATTTCGTTCTACATCTTATTATGTTTATTATTCGATAAGAAAAATAATTTTATGTTTTATGTACTGAGAGTCTTATGTTAAACCAATACAGCAATTTTATTCGACTGATTTAAATCAATATATTCAGTCTTGAATATTTATTTATTTATTATTATTATGTTTTTACAAGCAAAATCAATTGTTTTTGTACAAATTGATGATTGTTTTTTATGCATTTATTTTATATTATCATCTTTAGTTTAATATTCGTCGGAGAAAATTAATAAAACAACAAATCTGTGTAGGCCCCTTCATCTGCTACGAATTAAATTAAATTAAATGATTTAAAATTTTACATTTAAAATATAAACACAATATTTATTTAAAATCTTTCGTTATATTTTATGTTATAATTTCTTTCGTTATATTACTTGAAGTGTAGATCAGTATAGTAATCAGTATAGCTGTAAATTAGTGTAATCAATAATGCAGCTGACAGCAGATATTTAATTGAGTTTTTTAATATAAAAGTAAATTAAGAACTCATTAGTGGAATATTAATTTAATTAAGTTAGTACTGATCTTTCCATTAAATGTTGGTATTTTAATAAATTATGAAATATTATATTAATTTATTCAATGATAATATACCTTTAAGCCTTCATCAATGTTGTATCAACATTTTTGATACATCTATTATGCGCTTCACGGACTTCATTCTAATGATTAACAAGAAAATCTATGCATTAAAATATTGAAATTTTGTTTTAGAATTTTGACAGATACACATTAACTTCGTTGTTTTACCTAAATAATTATAACAAGATGTATAGTAATAGTACTACTAATAATAATATAATAACAAACCGCATGACCTAATCGTATGTATATAGAATATTGTTCGTGAAATAATTTAATTCCCTAGTCGTTGGCAACCTTTTCCCTAATTTCTATCTGTTAAAAGCGCGTAACACTCACGTATTTTCCGTTAAAATACATGTTCCAGTAGAATAGCTCTCATTTGTGTTACAATAGTCGTACAATTATCAAATTTTCCAAACATAAGTATGACAATATTATTCGTGTTTTTACGTTGGTTTTTTTCAATAGCTATAATACATTAATTTTTATTACCTGTGTAAGAAGTTAGTTTTTTGCAATATTTTTTGCATCATATAAACTGACCGAGTTGACTTATTTATTATATCCAACATACAAACACAGATAATATTGTCATCTTTATTTAGGTAAAGTTTAGTTTCTTTATGTTCATTGTAAATTAAATGAGAGCTGTTCTCCTGAGACATATTTTTACTATTTTTAGACATTTTGATTCATATTTACAATCGTCTAGTGCTGCTCTCGTGGTTACAGCGGCAGCATTCTAAAATCATACACACTCCCCACGCCGCGCACAGTACCGCACCGATTGTCGAAACCGGTTATTAATTATTGCAGTCATTTAGGCAAACGATTTATAGATACCCAAATTATATTATTAAATTTTAGAAACTTGTAGAATATGACTGTACCTACTTTTAAGGGGATTTGATCCGTGTAGTTTTTAAGGGGTTGAATATAGGCAATTTGTCACACGTGTGCGTGAACGCCATGAGAGTGTGTGTGAAGTAAATGATCACTAGTGTGTGTAATTACCCCGCTTTATACCCTCTTTCAATATGCCATGCCGGGCCATATTAATCTCGTGTTGCTAATCACCAATGCATCGGCGCGGCGGCAGAACCAGTTTTCCAATAATAGTCCGTTTTTACTACTAATACTATTGCCGACGTAATTGACATTTTATCATAAATAAAGTCATCAATAATAAAATTAAAAATTAATCATCATTTACGTTTTAAAATGACGCGGTGGCGGTGGCGTTAAATTTGTACACACGTATTGTAATGGGAGTCCGCACATGCTGGCGTTAATTCGGCCGCGGTAAAATATCGCCTCTACGATATTTATAAAAACCGCAGCATGCTCGATTTTACCGCCACCGTTCAGCGGTATTTTCAATTGACTTATCAAATATACGCTATAAGTATCTGTACTATTTAATATATATGTTGTATATTAGCAGGCCTGGCTCAAGGGGTACGCGACATATACCTACGCCTAGGGCGGAATTTTTCCTGGACAATTTTTATGTATAAAAAAAAAATATTTGATAATATATTTACGCTTAAGGGGCGGCAAAAACTAAATTTTGCCTATGCTTGTTTAAACACTTGAGCCGGGCTTGTATATTAGTCTAGACTTGGATTATTTCTTAGAAACTATTCAAGTTATAGTTTAATATACTATCTAACTTAATTAAAAATAATTCATATAAAAATAATCAATACAATATTGATATACTAGCTAATCAGTGAGACCAACAATATTTGTAGTATTCTACGGATCTATAAAAATATTCTATTAATAAATGTCATTTAAATATTAATTAATAAATTGTATTAAAAAATGGAATGCATTTTTATCTATTTTATTATTAGCTACAACTTGTGGCAGATTACTGTCAACAGGCATTATGTATTTTTGCTGTTCAATTGTGGACGTAAGGGTGATCAGTTTTTTGACTTTTGGAATCCTGTGATATTGTATGGTAGAAAGGGCGATTGTTATATGTTCATTATTTTTACATATACATTTTTTTTCAAAATTGTATTCACCCAAATGGGTTAGATAAATTAGATAAACTTACAGATTGGGAGGGACTCGAGACATATCAGTCTGTGATTTATTTTTATTAGGAGTTTTCTTTACATCTTGTGAGTGAATTACACTTACTTAATAAGATCAGCCGTCCATATATTGTTTTGTTTAACACATAATTAGGTAAAGGATCGAATTGTTCTTATTTGGATTTCGTTTCCCCAAGGTTAAGTCGAACACTGCATTATATCATATTACAGGGGTCACCAAATATCGGCCCGTGGATAGATTTAAACAATCTCGAAGAGAAGAAACTGAAAATGTAAAGCATTACTATTACGCACGACTGTTGTAATAATTAATTTTATATGTAATCTCCTATTTTTGTGTGTCAATGGTTATTTTAACGGTAGAAAATATATTAACCGTGAAGCATATCATACCTTATCGACTGTTTTCTTGTTTATTTTTGTCAATCGGCAGAGTTATAAAATATAATATGTAAAATAATGTACAACGCATTTTGATGTACCTCGAGAATTTTTCGAGTTCTTAACGTGGCTTTCGAAAAATATTAATTGGTGACCCCTATCATATTATATAATGTCAACCTTGAACTAAGCAAAATTTTATAAGAATAACGGCACCTCACACCCTCGCATTAAACTCTTAACATTAACTGTATATTTTTATCGCTTAATAAATTAGCTATTTTGCAGTGGTGCAAAAGGATTAATTATTCTTAACCATTTTCATGTTATTTGTGTGTATTATAGTCACACGCTATAATAATTATCAAGAAAAAAGGGTAAAACGGCTTAACACAATATTTTAAATTATGTATAAGTGTATTTATGTTTTTAAGGTGTAATTCACGATTGCAACATCAAGAAGAAATCAGAATTGGACTTTTGGTTTTCTGACAAACAAGTTATAAATTACACATTATACTTGTGGTATTTAATATTACGTTTTCATTGAATATTCGATTCTCCAAGATGTAATCGGATGCATAGCTGTCTACGTAAAATTGGTAATGAAGAAGCAGGTAAATAATATTGACATTTTTTTTATTTGTTTCAATTCTAACGAATATGTAATCATTGCTAACGGTGGTAACGATAGAATTTAGTAGAATATATATATATATAAAGACTATGTTATCGTCTGTTTTTGGCAAAGTTAGT